GTGACAGTCGTGACGCGAGAAATTCGTAACGAGTGACAGTCGTAACGCGTGACAGTCATGACGCGTGACATTCGTGACGCGTGACAGTCGTGAAGGTGGTGGACATTCCCTTGCCTTCATTTTCCCTTTCCTTCATTACTTTTAGCTCACTGAGACTGACAGGGAACTAGACGTTGTAGATGAAATAATCAGATCAATAATAAGTTAATGATTTGTTGTGTTAACGTACTAACGTTCATATTTTTATTTCGATGCAGGTGGCCTCAAAACTGGAAGGAATATCAAGTAAAGTTCACATATATGATATAACTTATTTCCCGAATCTTCGTCTTAAGGGGACCTGCTACCCAACATCTTCAATTATGGCGTTTTTCGGTTTTTGTGCTCATCTGAAAGCTGGAATTCTGCTCTTTCCAATGGTACCAAATACCACTTTTCACAAAAATTCACTAACAGTGAAGCGCAAAGTGCTTCACGACTGACAGAATGAAAGTGACGCGCTTCTGATGATCAGGGTGAACAGACTTTTTCTCTAAATGAAAATACTAGTAAAATCGAAAGGCAAAAAACATGAATCGAAAAGTGGATACAAATTTAACAGAACAAATATGAGGTATAACTGTTGAATGATCGTAAAAAAATTATAAGGAAAATCGCGGTACAAAAATTTAGAGACGCAGGAGGCGCGGCTACACTATTACATATATGAGGGTAAATGTTCATAATATTTTCTGGGGCATCATACGTAATTATTAAATTTCAAAGAAAATTGACCGACAAATTATGAATTAATTCATTAGTTTTTGATTAATTAAGAATTTCTCTTGATTTTTTTAAAAGTTGTCATTAGAAGAAAAAATTTAAATTTGACAAAAAAATTGAAACCTAATTCATTGTCATGACGACAATGAAAAGAAATAAATTTTTTGCTGCCACAATATCACTTTGAATTTATCACTGCCACGATATTACTCTGAATTTATCAATGCTACAATATCACTCTGAATTTATCACTGACGCAATGTCACTCTGAATTTATCACTGATACAATATCACTCTGAATTTTTCACTGATACAATATCACTCTGAATTTATCACTGATACAATATCACTATGAATTTATCACTACCACAATATCATACTGAATTTATCACTGCCACAATATCATACTGAATTTACTGCTGCCGCAATTCTGTTCGGAATTAAGTGCAAAATTTTGTAATCAATAAATATTACTGGCAACATTTTGTACTGAATTTACTATCGCTATAATTCTGCCCAGAATTAATAACTGACAGAATTGTGTTTTAAATATATACATCATGAATATATAAAGATATACTACATGAACGTGTTTCTCCTCTCACTTTGCTGCATCGAACGAAATAAGCTGAGCCTATAAGATAATGAATCTCAGCGCTGAATAAAATGGTGTATGTATCATTATATAAATGACGCATTTATCATTATGTATGACGTATGTATAATTAAAAATGGCGTATGCATCATTAAAGATAACGTATGCATCATTAAAGATGGCGTATGTATCATTATAGATAACGTATGTATCATTAAAAATGGCGTAGGTATCATTAAAAACGGCGTATGCATCATTATGGATGGCATATGTATCATTAAAAGTGGCGTATGTATCATTAAAGATGGCGATATCGTTAAAGGCGGCTATGTATCATAAATGAATACGTATTTATCATTAAAGATGGTGTATTTATCATTAAATATTGCGTATAAAACATTGACGATGGCGTATGTATAATAAAATATTGCGTTTGTATCATTAAAGATGGCGTATAAAAAAGATGACATTATCATTAAAGCAGTAAAGATAGCATTATCATTAAAGCATTAAAGATAGCATTATCATTAAAGATGGCGTTTGTACCAATAAAAAGAGCGTATGTATCATTAAAGATGGCGTATGTATCATTAAACATAGCGTATTTGTCATTGATGATACCTTAATTCTTTCTAAACATATGAGTGACGCTGGTTCTGCAGGTCACCAGCACCACCAGCACTTAAGCGCTCGAGTGACTTGGCGTTAAGGAATTTGAATTGCACTTTAAAATGTGTATGAAATTTGTATTACGTAGAAAAATAAAAAAAATAGTACAGGTTGATTCATGGAAACTTTCTGATTTGAAAGTTCATTAAAAAAATAGTTCACTAAATCGTCATATTATAATATATATTGTATTGAAAATTACTTTACCTGAATTTTTGTATCACTAAGTTTTGAAGATGATATCGGACAAATTACGGCCCCCATTGTCATTCAATTAGTCAACTTTTTAAATTCCGTTCAACTCACTGAAGCATATTGCCGGGTATGTTGGCGATGGCTTGGCGTATGTTGTTCTTCGAATGAGGTAGGGTCCTTGGACATTCATTTTTAACAATCTATCTCCAACTATCTCAAGGACCCCGTGAACTACGGAAAGCGGCACACCAAAGGCCGCTCCAAGAAGATGTCGGCCCGTGACCCTCGTCGCCTCTTCCGAGTTGCGGCGCCCGGCGACTTGAGCGCGCCCAAACTATTCCAAAAGTTGGAACTCAATGTCTCCAAGTCCACCGTCTCTCGCACCCTCGCGTCCTCCGGCATCTTCCAATACGTGAAGATGAACAAGGCCCCCCAATTGACCGAGGCTCACAAGCATGCCAGGGCCGACTGTGGCACAAAGTATGCAAGTACTAGTGATGACACCTGGGCCAAAACCATCTTCTCTGATGAGAAGAAATGGAATTTGGATGGCCCAGATGGTCTGAAGTACTACTGGCGTTGCCGCAGGAATGATCCAAAGGATCATTCCGCCAAAATGGCGAAGGCAGTGTAATGGTGTGGGGGCCTTTCATGCAAACGGTACGAGCGAGCTCGTCTTCCTCGAAGGCAACCAGTGCGCGGACGACTATGTCCAAACGCTCGCGGACCATCTACTTCCCGTTGTTGTTGTTGTTAATTGCCCGGGACCGCTGCTCGGCGGCGCCCACGAAGAGGCGGCGGCTCCGGGGGAGAAGAGGGGAGCGGAGGTTCCGCCCCAAGGATGTCGGCGAAGGATGAGAGCGACGAGAGGAAAGCCGCAGTCGGCCCAGGGTTAGACCAGAAGTCCAGTGGGGCCAGCGAGGTGGGATGCGAAGGGCAGTTGAAGAGGTGATGGGTGGTGTGGTCTATTGCGCCGCACCCAGGGCAGAGTGGGCTGTTGGCTGCACCAATGCGGGCAAGGTACGAGTTGAGCCGCGATGAGTAGCCAGAGCGGAGTTGGGAAAGGGCACTTCTGGCCGCCCTGGGGAGGGAAAGCTCGCTTGACGAGACAGTGGTGGCAGGGGTCAGCAGCACCTTGTTGGGAGCTGCTGAGGCCAGGTAGGATGAGACAGCGGAGCTGTGCAGGGTGCTGAGGGCAGCGGAGTAGGTGTCGGGGGGGAGGGATCCCTCTACCAGCAGGTGAGAGACGGAAGGGAGGAAGCGGGACTGAAGCGTGTGCTTCATGGAACGGGGCCCTGCTGTCTGGGTGACGATAGGGTAGCTGGGGTGGTGTGGACGTCATCCGCCACCAAATTCGCCGCGGCGCCATCTTCCAACAAGATAATGCCTCAATCCATAAGGCGCGCACGACCATGGCCTTCTTCAAGCGTGCCAAAATCCGGGTTATGGACTGGCCAGCCAAGTCCCCCGATCTGAATCCCATTGAGAACGTCTGGGGGTACATGGCTGGGATCGTCTACGCCTGCGGGAAGCAGTATGACACGAAGGAAGAACTCGAGTTGGCCATTCAAGCCGCCTGGTCCAATCTGGACCCCAACTACCTCCGTAGATTGTCTCAGGGCATGAAAAAGCGGTGCTTGGATGTCTACAAAGCCAACGGGGAGCATATCGGTAAACAACTTCTAGTTTTGCAGCTGACGTATGTTTTGTTTTGCCTAAAATGTCAAAGTGTACAAAGTGGGGCTAACCTTTTGCGTCGGTGCAAAAACATGTGTTTTTCATTTTCTCCGTTACTAATTACATTTTCACTACAGTCTATTGTATTTTGATTACTGAGACCAAGGCGATTCGTTTGCCACCATTTGCACAATAAAACTCGCAAAACTCGATGTGTTATGATGTTTTAAAAGGGTGGGGCCAACCTTTTGCGTCGGGCTCTACTTGCACATTCCTTTCATTCAGCTGTACGAGATAATGCGGAGCAGTGCAAAGTTCCAGCATTCGAAAGCGAGTTTAGAATTACAGCGTCCATAACAGGGGTCTGACTTAAGAATTTTAAAATCCTTATTTTCAAATAGTTGCCTAGTTTAAGTGCTGCGTTCAGTTCTGATCCATTTGAACTTGTTAATAGGAATTGCCTTTTATTTGTAAATTTTTGCTTTAAGTCTGCAATGTGAATGTAGGTTACTTATAATTATTTGTAGGTACTTGCATTCAACGATTGTCGATCTGACGATAGAGCTAGATTTAAGAACATTTTATTCTATAAAATATGGTGAATATTTGTACCATCTTATTTGCTTTTAACTCATGAATAAATTATGCGTCTAACAATCTTCTATTACGCTGCCGACACGTTTACTCTCAATACAACAGGGCATCGTGTTTTTCTGCTTTAGTTTTGCATTGCAGGCCAGGCTGCGGAGTGATGCGACTGGGTTCAAATATAGCGCAGCTTTCATTGAAGTTTCGAATATATATTCCTCATGACTCAGTAATAGAATATCTTACGATCCCATTCGTTGGCTGGCTTCTGTTCTTTAGCTCGCGTTCAGGGAGTCTTTTAGGTTGAGGGGGCGTCTGGGCAAAAAAAAGTCTAGGTGTATTTGGGAGCGGACGCACAATATAAGGACGTACTATGACGTGGCACGGAGTACGTAATGTGGGACGAAAAACGCACTATGACGTACCTGCAAATATCGGCTCTTATAAAACATTCATCACAGAAACATTACACGAAATTTGAATACAATTAAACCAGACGGGACAGTAAAATATCTTTGCATTCAAATCATTTATTGTATTGTTACATTATAGATTTAGATTATATCCCAGAAACTGCGTGTGCCAGCTATAACTCGTGAATAATGTATTTAAACGAATAATAATTGTTCAATAATGTAGGTATAGTAAGTGCATCCTATCATTCTTTCCCTGAATCTTTATTGTATGGGGAAGAGAGAGTGAAACTTGTTTGTAAAAAATCCGTAAACCAAAGATTAAAACAAGCAGCCACAAACGTAATCGAAAAAATCCCTAATTCAAAATTGCAAAAATTACAATATTCTGGTCATCAATCCATCTAAACGGAAATGAAGTGGTCACGGAAGAAGAAAAGTCTTCTGATGCTCAGTTCGTCTTCTTCTGGCTCATTTCAATGTCTCTCCGTGACATCAGCCGTCCATGACATCACCTGTTCCAGGGGCTTACAGCATTCATGAGACATTGGAATAGTCGGAAGAGCTGGAATATGAAACATGAGGCATCAGTCATGATCATTTACGGAAATTCTGTGACGTCTTCTGCTTGCTGCAGTGCTCTGACATCGTTGGTTTTCTATGAAAGACTTTTTTTCTTCAATTGTTCGAACTATACGCAACCGTTGGTAATTTTTCCATTGTTACTTTAAAATGTGACCAATTCTTATGGAAAATGTAGCATTTGTTTCTAAATCAAATAGATAAGCCCCTTCTTTGACTTACGTTCAAATATTTCATGGTGGAGTTCTTGCACGTTGGGTACGCGGCTTTGAACTTCGCGTCAGCGCTGCATTTGTTCTTCAATGTGGTGGCTTTGAAGGCCGCGTCGTCGAACGTGTTGTTTGCCTTCAGCTGGGGAACGGGAGGTGGAGATATGGAGCATATGTGGCAACTGGAGTTTGGATTTATACTGCTTGGTGAAAAAAAATTCTTTAGCATTAACACGTAGACTCCGAGTGCTTTATCGTGTACTGTTATTTCGTTTTTGTACTATTTTAAAACATTGTTGCCACAAGGTCTTTTTTTCGGACAAATTCCGCGATTTAATATTTTTTTTTTTAAATGCTATGGCAGGCTAAAATTTATGATACTTCCTAATTGATACTGGCAAGCTTAAATTACGCACCACTACGTCGTGGAGAAATACATTACGTGGTAAGCATATGTACTACTTTGGAGTCAACGTGTTAAAAGAGACCGAAAAGGGAGATTAGATCGAGCTGATCTAATCTCACACGTTTCGCGTGAGCTGTTGCGTAGAAATGTAAGAGCATCGTTGAGGATGATGTATAAAGGAGAATTTTTGATCATGGAAGCAATACAGAATTGGAAAATGTCTTCCCGCTGTCTCGACCCACTTGCCAGGTCTCTGTGCCCCACCAGTGGGTCAAGTCCAATAGTTTGTGAGTGACATTAACCCCGAAAAATCGGCCCTAGAGCAGACATAAATACTGCTGAGCGTGTGTGTTGCGGGTACGAGACCAGAATTTTTGAGCTGTAATGTCCAGTCGTGAACTCGGCGCCCAATGTAGTCACACTCGCAAGTCCTGCACTTAATACTCAATGACCTTTGTACAATCATAATCACATGTTCTTCACTCGATCCTCAATGTACATTCACACTCACAAGTCCTGCACGCGATGCTCACTGTACAGTTATAATCACAAGTCCCGCACTCGATGCTCAGTATTGTGCTTTACTCACAAGTTTGACTGCTTTCAGTGCACACTTATTGATGTTGGCAATAATTGGATCGCATGCAGCCACGTCGTACGGGACAGCGAAGAATGAGCAGTTCTTGTCTGAGGAGGAATGAGGCAGTCGTTTATGTAGTGTTGGTGGCATCTCATTGTGAAAGAACATACAGGAGTGAAACAATGCAGGGATTCTATTGGTTAGTTAACGTTTGGTAATTCAATCAGAATCATAGAAAAATCAATACGCATTAATGAAAGAAAAGTTATTGTCCAGCACTTATAAATGAGCAAAATGCATGTTTGATTCGCCCGCTAGAGTATCTACACATTAAAATTTAAATATTTTAGTGCTTGATGAAAGTTTTTACAATAACGATTGTTTTAAATGAGAGTAAAATAGTTCGTATTAATTATTTTAACACTTACTTGCATTATATTTCGCAATAATATCAGCAGTGAACAGCGACGAGCAAGCAGACTCCGCCGTGTTTGACACAGCACGGTTGGCATCATCCAACGCCGAATAGCAAGCCGAAGGGGCGCTGGGATCAATACACAAATTAAATAGGTACGCCACTCACATAATTAATCATACTTTATTATCTCTACAGCTACAGTTACTTAATCAAGTTCGAAATAAGAAGTGTTACTAAGAAATTAAATTTTCACAAATAAATCTTTTCAAGTTAATGGAGTAGTTGAGCAACTTCAAGAATCAAAATAAGTTTTTGCTCAGAATCAGAATAAAACTGATCTGATGTAAAAAAAGTCGCACGGTGAAGAAAGCTCCTAAAATTCTGTCTGGAAGGGAGCACAACATTGGCTGAAATAACCGTTTCCAAAAAGTTTTTCTGCTGACATCCGCGGCATGCGAATTTCACTGTTGCATTAAGCTGCACGAACACTTTTCCTCCGCGACCTGCAAATCTTACTGCCGCATTAAAATGTCCGAACACTTCCGTCCGCGATCGGATGCATGCAGGTGTAAATTCTCCTCGATCCATACAATGATTAAAGCTGAGTAGGGAGGCAACGATAAAATAATAATAATAATAATAACGAAAATAACAATAATAATAGCGGTTTCAGCGTTTAGTAGGCCGTATAGGCCTGTCGCTGATTCTTAACATCGCATAATATTCACAGGTTGATGCGGTCTCGAACGCGCAACTCATTGCCTCAAATTTTGCTTTACTTAACCGCCCGGCCTCCTTGCCGATTCTGACCAGAAACTGGCGCACAGAGCTGGAATCGAACCAGCACTTCTCTGCTCCAATCTTGGTACTCTGAACTTTAACCACCGGGCCACCCCTGCCCAGAGAAAAGCCAACAGCATCTGCTGCGCCCAGGCGGTCACCCATCCAAGTACTAACCAGACTCAACGTTGCTTAACTTCTCTGATCGGACGAGAAGCGGTGCTTTCAAGGTGGTAAGGCCGTTGGTCGTGGTATGGCCTTGCTTTGGAATACAATGATGTGGCCAGGCAGGTCGTCGGGCCTCCAGCTCATGACTTGACTTGTTCTCAGCGAGGACCAAATTTTACAGCGTTCACGAAATATATTATTCAACTGAATAAGATCCCCTTAAATTCTACTCATACCTGAAGCAAACAAAATCTGTTGTCATTCACCTGCAGGAGGGCAGTGTTCTTCAAATCTACCATGATTAGCAAACATGTCGCCCACGTAGGGTTGCCAAGTGATTACAGTTTAGAATACCAAAACTGAAGCAGTGAGTTGCATGTTCGAGACCCGCAGCAAGCTGTGAATGTTCTGCAATATTAAGAATCGGCGAAAGGTCTAATGGGCTAACAAACGCTGTCGCCGCTTTTACTATTATTTTTTTATCCGATTATTGGCAAGCATGTATGGAATGCCGTAAATTATTCGGTTGTATTACTACAGCGTTTCAAATTATGAATTGTCACTTAATTTATTATTCACATTATCATGTCGCCTTCTATAGAATATTTAGTATTGTGTTTCATTCTCAAACTCAAGTATTCATGCCGCCATCGTATGAAGTAAAGCGTCTTAAATATAAAAAGTTACTGCCCGTGTAATCGTGAGGAGCAGGAAAATAAATATCAGTAGCATTTAATACGAAATATCCTCTCAAAACTTGAACATATTTCCGCTTGGTTAGTGTTACCGCAAACCACTCATGGCCTCTGAAGACGCGTTACTTACGCCTGCGCCGACGCTGCTGCCGCGGCGACGATGAGAAGCACGAGACCTCGCGACATCTTGGAGCTGTGATCAGGGACTGGACGACAGGGTCTGCGGGCTGTTCAAGGGCTCTTGCTGCTGGGGCTGTTGAGGAACGGCAAGGTCTGCGGGTTGTGCAAGGGCTCTTGCTGCTCTGTCACGTTGTTTGCGTGTGGCTTTGATGTTATATGCCTTTGACTTGTTGGTGCAGGTGCGGTGAGAACCAAATGTAAGCAGCCGCCAACGCACCTGTTTGATTTATGATTTTGATCCTTCTAGTTCACGAAGGCTGGATGACTCATGAGTCTTTTCATTATGAAGGTTTCACCCCATTACTCTACCTCTTTTGCAGTAAAGACATGACAACCATGGTCGGCAAAACCTTAAATTTTTACTTCATTGTCCTTCCAAAGGTTCGAGCGTCGCATAGTCACAGGAGATTCCATGTACATCTTCAGGCCGAATAAGCTAAATGACAGTTTTTCTGAATAATTGTTGTTAGCATAATGTTATTCCCGGGGCCGTAACGTACTAACTGTCGTTGTCGCGGCTGTAAACTGTACATGTGATGAATTCAATATTTCCAACCTAGTTATTTCAGGGCTAAATCTGTACAATTATAGGCTAACCTTGATAGAAAATTGTATCTAGCGTATTGCCTTGTCATTGTACAAGTACAAGTCAAGTTGCATAATGTTATTTTTCTGTACATCTTTCGTCAATCTTTTTTATAGATATTAACTCTTGCATATTTTCTGCTAGATTTATATTGCATCGAAGAATTTGTTGAACACAAGAAAAATGAGAGGCAAGTCAAAAGAAATGTCAGTATATATCAGTTCCAATGATCTAATGTATGTGTTTACCCATGATATGATTTAGTGAAACTATTTAGTGGCCAGCGGTTGCTATATGTTGTTCTGAATGACAGCCTATAACTGTCAGTACCTGCTAAATCTCTATATGTTTAAGAATTTTTAAGCAAAGTCCTACGAGACATTGAGTTCCTATTTCGCCAATAAACAGGTGTTGCTCTGTCAACAAAATAAAAAGGGATGTTCGAGATTCTCACCTATACGTTCTCTATTATTGAAGAAACAGATGTTGTCATCTTTAAATAGAATGCTACCTTGCATTGCAACTCCCCAATCCTCTAATTTACAGTATGTGCAGCATACAACTGATCGCGGTGTAGAACTTCACATCCATTGCAATCTCTTGACCTTATCTATTATCATTTTTTATGTCCGACTGATTCATCTGCGATCTACGTGGCCATTATTCACCATGTTGCTGTTCATGAAGTAAGTAATATCCCCCTTTTCTGCTATTGACATTGCCTCTGTTAAAAATTCATGACAATATTTTTGCAAATACACTCGTAATACATTCTGAACAATAAATATCCTGGCTAAAAATGTAGATGGATACGCCAAGTGTTGGACCGAGATGTTTTTAGTTCTCAACATTCTTGAATTAACGTGTCTTTAGTTTCCAACTTTCCGAACGCGACTGCCACGCATTGGATTAATGTGTCTTTGGTTCTGAACATTAGTGTTGTAAGCCATGTTGTGTGTCATGTGTTGTAAGCCATGTTGTGTGTCATGTGTTGTAAGCCATATTGTGTGTCATGTGTTGTAAGTCATGTTGTGTGTCATGTGTTGTAAGCCATGTAGTGCGTCATGTGTTATAAGCCATGCTATGCCGCATGTGTTGCAAGCCATGTTGTGTGTCATGTGTTGTAAGCCACGTTGTATGATGTGTTGTAAGCCATGAGTCGAGTCGAGTCGAGTCGCGTCGAGTCGAGGGCGAGTCGAGTCGAGTCGAATCGAGTCGAGGGCAAGTCGAGGGCGAGTCGGGGGCGAGTCGAGGGCGAGGCGAGGGCGAGTCGAGGGCGAGTCGAGGGCGAGTCGAGGAAGAGTCGAGTCTAATCGAGTCTAGTCGAGTCGAGTCGAGTCGTCGAGTCGTGTCGAGTCGAGTCGAGGGCGAGTCGAGTCGAGTCGAGTCGAGTTGAGTTGAGTCGAGTCGAGTCGCGTCGAAACGAGGGCGAGTCGAGTCGAGTCGTGTCGAGTCGAGTCGCGTCGAGTCGATGGCGAGTCGAGTCGAGTCGAGGGCGAGTCGAGTCGAGTCGACGCCGAATGACAGTTACAGGACTCGCACGAGGCTGAACAACAAGTTGCGGAGGCGCGAGCGGTGGCTGCCACTCGGAAGAATCCCAAATATTTCTACAAATATGCCCAGTCAAAGGCCAAAGTCAGAGCCGCTATGGGGCATTTGAACAATAACAATGTCCTTATACTGCAGACGACCAGGGCATGTGCGAACTGCTAGGAGCGCAGCTTGAAAAAGTATTCAGCAAACCCCGATACTCAAGACAGGAGAACGAAATTGGAGTCATTCAAGATCTACCAGGAGGGGCGGGTGCTGACGAACATTGAGTTTGTAAGAAGATCTAGAGATGATCACCGGATCTAGAGATGAGTTTCCAAGAATTATCGACTTATTCGGCTCCCGGGCCAGATGTGGTCCCTGCCGAGTTACTGAAAAAATGTGTCGGTGCACTAAAGTTCTTTCTGACTTTACTCTGGAAAACATCATAGAGAGAAGGAAACGTTCCTAGTTACTTAAAAAAAATTTCAGTCCGGTTGCATTAACATCGCATGTAATCAGAGTATTTGAGAAGGTTGTCGCCAGAAGGTTGGTGCAGTACATGGAGTAAGCTGACCTTTTCAACAGAATTAAGGCAACACGGTTTTATACGAAATCGCTCCTGTTTGTCCCAGTTACTGGAACATCACCACCAAATCCTGGCCATGCTGGAGGACGAGGCCGAGGTAGACGTGGTACGTTTGGACTTCGCGAAAGCGTTGGACAAAGTTCACCATGGAGTGCTTTTCAGAAAATTAAGACTACTGGGGATCGGAGGTGAATTGCTGGCATGGATCCATAGCTTCCTAACAGATCTTCCAAATAACTTTTGTTATTCTGTCGACAAAATAAAAAGTGATATTCGAGATTCGCACCTACGTTCTCTATTATTGAGAAAACAGTTGTTGTCATCTTTAAATAGAATGCTGTCTTGCATTGCAAATCCCTAACCCTTTAACTCTTGCAACTGATCGCGGTGTAGATTCATAATGTCTAACTGTTTAATTTGCGATCTTCGTGGCCATTATTCACCACCTGGTTGTTCATGACTTCTGTACTATTCACTTTCCTGCCATCGGCATTGCCCTTGCCAAAACGTCATGGCAATATTCTTGCCAATACACTCTTAATATCTTTTGTGCATCAAATACGATGGCTAAAAACGAAGATGGATACGCCAAGTGTTGGACCAAGATGTCTTTAGTTCTCAACATTCTTGAATTAACGTGTCTTTAGTTTCCAACTTTCCGAACGCGACTGCCACGCATTGGATTAATGTGTCTTTAGTTCTCAACATTACGAACGCGACCGCCATGCATTGGATTAATGTGTTTAGTTACCAACATTCCGGACGCGACCGCCTTAGATTTAAGATGTCTTAACTTCCAACATTCTGAACGTTCCCGACACGAGTTTACGTTGTCTGCATTTCCCAACACCCAGAACGTGGCCAAGTGGCAGCGCCGAAAAACTTCATGGGATCATCAATGGGTGAGCACCGCGCATATTCAAGCTGGGTAGCTGGTGCTGGCGTGGGCGTCTGTCGCGACGACATAAGCCATGTTGTGTGTCATGTGTTGTAAGCCATGTTGTGTGTCATGTGTTGTAAGCCATGTGTCGTACGTCACATTTTGCGAGTCATGTGTCCTAAGTCATGCGTCATACGTCATATGTTGCGAGTCATGTGTCGTGAGTTTTAATGACACATTATTAACCTGAAGTGCTTCAGACGAAATGGCATCAGCTATTTGCATCTGATGAGTAAATCATCACAATAATTGGAGTGCGAGAACTTGCAGCTAATATTAGCCCCGTGTATAAGCACCTTTAATCTTCAAAGCCGATATTACTATCTACAACTTGTGCAGTGGTTCCCTAACTTTGTCTCCCCAGTGAATTCCTAGCGCCCCCCCACAGACACATAATATTAATTAACGTAGCGTCCCCCAACAAAGACACAAATATATAACTTAGTATTCACTGCAGTAAGTGACAGAGCGCGAATTTTCTCGTCGACGAAAACGTGAAGTCACGGACAGACAGACGGACGGACATGACGAGCACAATAGGGCATTTTTTCCATAAATGAGAAAATGCGCTAAAAACCCAGGTTCTGAATATTTTCAAAAATTTACACTGGAAACCCAAGAGAGGTAAAAAAACAGATCTTGGTGGAAAACCCCATCGCTGGAAGCCATGTACTGCACGTGTTGTGTACAAATCGTCAAACAAACGTTCAAACTTCTGACTTCGGACTGCCGCCCCCATTCTTCCTCACCGCCCCCCAGATCTTTCCATCGCCCCCAAGGGGGCGGTACCGCCCACTTGGGGAACCACTGATCTAGAGGTTACAGTTCAAAGTACCGTACCAAAATTGGAGCAGTGAGTTGTGGGTTTTTTCCCAGCTACAGTTTTGCTGATACAATCGGCAGGGAGGCCCGGAGGTACAGCACAGCAGAATTGGAACAGCGAGTTGCGTGTTCGAGAACACGATAAGCTGTGAAATTCTGTGATATTCAGAACCGGCAACAAGTATAATGGCCTAATCATCGCTGACGCCGCTATTATCATTATTCTTGTTATTATACTTCGCTGTGCTATACCATACTGTGCTGTACTATACTAGAATATAATGTACTGTACCTTACTTTGCTGTACCATAACACACTGTACAATAGTACACTATGCTATGCTGTACTATAACATACCGTACAATAGTACACCATACTATGCTGTACTATAGCTGTACTATTACACGCTGTACAATAGTACACTATGCTATGCTGTACTATTACACGCGGTACAATAGTACACTATGCTATGCTGTACTATTACACACCGTACTAAAGTATGCCATGCCTGAACGAAAATGCCGGCCGATTTTGCTCACTTAGAAGTAGAAAACCAAGGGAAAAAATGCACTGCAGAGAACAAAAAAAATAACGCATATACTCAGTAGATTTATTCCAAAGAAGCTGGTTGGCTTGCGTCGCAAATGTTCC